CCCGGGATGCTACTGGAACGAGCGCCGGCTCCAGTTTGCCCCTCGCTAGGCAGGAGATTAGAAAGAGAAGAAACACGAGGGCAATTTACGTTAATTTCCCAAGAAAGCACAAGAAATCAGTAGATGCAAACTCAGGGCTTTGCCATATAACAAGTTTTTAGTTAAAAAAAAAATGGAGCGCTATGGGAAATTTGTTCACCTGTGCCTTTTTTGTCTGTATTGGTCTCTCTGTACAGCAAAAGGTGACGGTAGAAGTGCTGGACCACTTGGAACACCTGGCCCTGGTTGATTTCCGCGATCGTAGAGCGGCTGCAGAAAGCGATCCAGTTTGCTGATCAGCTGCACAAGGTGAACACCGATGGTGTAGAACCGATGGATTCAGTCCTGGAGGACAGGTAATGAATCTCAGTCAGCAGCCGCCTTTTAACTGTTAGAATATCAATCTATTTGCTTTTGTAACTTTTTTCCTTTCCTGGGAATCCCTGGTTCTGTATTGGGTCCCTTTGCTCACAGAAAAGCCTTATCGTGGTTTTGGGTGGAAGGAAGATGTTCTTTGCACTCATGACCTTTGTGTGTAAGCATAGCAAAGGTGTTCTTCAACTCCTCTGTGTATCTTATTTGTCACGCATGATCTGTACATGCTGCTCCCCAAATACCTGTCAGTGCCGTTCTTAGTTGCTTCAAAATATTCCAGTACTTGTCCTGCCACATATTCACCATAAACCTAAAACCAGGTTTAGAGATAAGCCCCACTTCCTACTTCATATTCATTGAATTGTTCTTCAGGTGTCTGTATCTCAGAGAAGATGATGTTACAGAAGGCAACTGCACAAAAGAGCTGCTGGAAAATGCCAGAGAGAAAGTAGAGGAATATTTTGTAGCCCCACCAGGTATTGTCTTAAAGACCCCTTAATCTTGCTTGAATTAACCTGAGGAATGTAACACCATCGCTGCATTTACTTACTGAAAAACTATCCCTTAATAGGAATGCACCACAATAACTGACTGTAGCCATCTGTAGAAAGTAGCCTGCAATCTGGAGGTTCAAAAGCAGTCCAGAAGCAAACCTTACTCTAAAGTTACTGCACTTTATTTACAAGAATTCAGACTGTACTTACTTTCCTTACGTGCTCAGGAAATTTAAGCTGCCTGTACATAGAATAAACTGGAGCAGCACTTTTGTGCTATGCTGTACTACCCCAAAGGTAACTTGCAGCTGGTGTCACACAACCTTCTTTTTGTCTTCTATCAGGTAACATCCCTTTACCAAAGCTAGAAGAACGAGAGACTTTTCTGCAGGGCTCTTAGCAAAAGCCCAGGACCCAAGCACTGTTTTGGTATTTCATCTGGGAAACATAAGGTTTGTGCAGTCACAGCTGAAATACCCTGGCATGTATTTTGATCAAGAGGAGAGCGCTCACAAGACAATTCACAGAAGGAAGGTGTACAGAGAAATGGTGCTACTGAAATAATGTTTGTGAAGCTGGAAGGCGGCATGACAGATGACATTAGTGCTTTTATTTAGCAAAGTGAATCTGATGTTAGTTAAGATACTGAATGGCTTAAAGGCTTTAAAAAGAACCATAAAAGTTAATTATTAAAAAACCCAGAATGCTCTCTTTTTCCTCAACAAGTTTGTCAGGAAAACAAGAGAGGTTGCAAGGCTGCATTTGCCTATTTTTCACCTTCAGCTTGACTCTGTCCCAGCCAGAAGTAACAACGTCTGGTATGAGGAGGAGGCTGTAACATTGCTGAGTGTCTCTGTCATGTACAGGCAGAACTCAGATTTTCATTACGGACGAAAAGGCACTTTGAGGAGATTATTCACCCAAATATTTTGCTCCTATTGAATATTTCCATTTTATCTTTGTGCTCCATGTCTGTATGGGTTATCTTCTGTTTCCCACTTTGTATCTTTATTCTTACAAATGAAATACTAGGACTTGTACATCGTCTCAGAAAGAACTTTTCATACACAGAAATAGCTGCTCAAAGCCTAAAAAAATTTGCCATAAATATTTCTGTATACCAGACGTGCATCTCTAGAGATACTTGTGATAATTCCTGGATTCAAGCATTTTTCTGTTTCAAGCAAAGCACTGCAGTGGTTTGTGTTATTTAAAACATCTTGTGTGGCTAAGCTTCTTGTAAATAAAGAATTGCTTGTGTTCTGTTGCTACAGTGAACTAAATACACACTATAACCACTAAATACACACTATAACTGTTTTTAGAAAGACAAGTGCTCTGCTGCCCTTTAGTGTTCCAGCAGACATTACTAGCAGGACGCCAGCAACAGCTTGATTAGAAAAAGCAGTAACTTTTGTTCCTGGATGGTGCCCTGTCCACACACAGATTTAACGCCTGGACGTGTTCCTGTGTGACCTGGTCTGGGTGATCCTGCTCTGGCAGGGGGGTTGGACTGGATGAGCTTTTGAGGTCTCTTCCAACTCCTGATTGTTTGTGATTCTGTAATTCTGTAAGAATACAGAATTACTTCTTCCAGTTTTCAAGATCTTTTTTGGGTGAGCTTTGGAGGTCTCTTCCAACTCCTGATAGTTTGTGATTCTGTGATTCTGTAAGAATACAGAATTACTTAATCCAGTTTTCAAGATCTTTTCGAGTGCACAGAGTTACATCCTGAGCCGCAGTGGAATTTCTTCAGAAGTGCAAGGAAAGACCCCTGAAGTCACTGTAGTAGGATACACTGATGCCCACTTCTGAGGCTGCTCTTACGGCTCTTGGGAGCCTGACAGAAGGAAAGTTGTCTCCTCCATACTGTGCAGGCATGTGCTTCCCCAGAGGGCAGAAACTCACCTCGTGAGATTGTAACTTGATGTCATTCAGCTTACACAGTGCACATTAGCTTTTTGCAGCAAAAAGCTATTACTCCTGTCTCTCTGTACATCTGCATAATAACCACTACCAACATGGTGCGTGTGTTCCTTTAGGTCCTGCCAGCTGCCTGATAGGGCAAGTCCCGAGCATGGCCATAACTATTTCTCCTATGAACTGCATCTTCCACACCCTTGCAAACAACAGGTAATCAAGGATTAATGATACACGTGCATTGCTTCTTAGTGTCTCAAAAGTCCACCAAGCATATTAGAAGTATCATAATTTGAAAAGCACTGAAAAAAATACTGAAGAGTTTGAGTAGTGCTGGTACTAGGTTCAGCCATTAGTGGCTTGTTCTTAATACCATGTGTACAAACCGCTTTGACAAGCTCTCTCTCGGGCCATTCATTATGTGCCATGTACTTAATGGCAAACCTCAGCTGACTGAAAAGGCCTACGGCTGTCTTTGCTGGTAGAAGAAATTACAGCCACTAGGTAGGACCCACTTTCACTTGCTGCCCTCAAAGGCTGCATGTTTGGCAAGCTTTGAACTGTTGATTTTTTTCTTATTCTGAAACTGATTTTTTTAATATATATTTCTCTGGCAGGAAGTGAGAGCAAACATTTGCCCCATTTGCCCACTCTTATCTGTGCAGTTACTCCATTATTTGTTAAGGCTTCTGTAATATATACACATAACATGTAATTATTACAATACCTGAATTCTTTCAAGGGTGTTGAATTAAAGTCTCCCTTTAGCCTCACTAATCCAATTCTCTGCAAAGCTGTCACACTGCAGTTGTGCTTCGTCTCAGGCTTTTCAAGATTCAGACCCTGCAAATACTGAAGTTTGACAAATACACAAGCTCAGCCTAAAAGTAATTTACGATGCATATATAAATCACAACAAGGAAAGACCTCAAGTCACACTATACAACAAGCACATTAGCAGAGAATTCCCAGTCTGAGAAATCTCAACGTGTTCTATCCATTTGGCCTATGTTATTTACATAGAAAAAGGAATTTAAGAGTAAACTGCATGGCTGCAGGAGCTTCCAACCCAATACATCATCAAGTAACAACCAAACCAACAATTGGGACAAGGATGATCCCACATTCCCAATGCAGCACAGGCTAAGCTTAAAACTGCCAGTTCACTGCTGCTCCCTTACCTGCACGCTCCAGTGAGAGAACAGACTGCCTGGTGCTTGTTCCCTGCAGCCCAAACAGATTTCCATAATGAAGGGGTTTGTTGCAACTTCACCACTAAGAAGGGAACTACAGCCCTGACTCAGACACCTGCAACCACCAAACCAGAAACCCTAGCAAAGGCCAGATGAGCTGCCTATGGGGCAGAATCCGTTGGTGCCTCAGCCTGCTCTCCACGTGTCTAATGTGGCTCGTGCTGCGCCCCATGGGTGGCGCAAAGCCCCAGCGGGCCCTGGCTGCACCCTGAGGTGGGGATGAAATGCCCTTCACGGTGCTGGTTCACCTGCATTCACCGCAGGGCCTCAGTGTGCAAGTGGGTCCAGATCTGGGTCAGATCTTTACATGGTTCTGCCACAGCGCAATTTATAAACCCAGGCAAGCGAATAGATACAGTTAAGGACTTGTGTAATGATCGCTACCTGTAAATTCCTTGTAACTCCAGCATGGCAAACATAATGCATATTTGTGAAATAACTCATCCTTTCTCAGTGGTTAATAGATATGGCCAAAGGAAAAAAAACAACACAAAAGGAAGCCAGATCCTGAGATGATGTGAATGTATCTAGTTCCCACCAGGTCCCCCTGCCACAGTTTTCCCACTACTGTGTAGATGTGTAGCATATACAATTGGACTGGAAGCCCTAGCGTATAGATTCTAGGTTTACAAAAAATTTTCAAGGTGGTAATTTCTTTGGTTTTATGGAAAAAAGAAAATGGAAGTTGTTTTATTGCTAATCATGATAATTTTATGTTTTGATAGTAACCAGGAGGCCCAGGAAAAATCTCTATTAAATAAAGTGATATGATATTCAACACAGACAAAAAAAACCCCACCTCAACTGAAAAGTGTTTACAATTTAACCTCCATCTGCAAAGGAATCTCATGATATGCCTTATCCATTACTCAATTTTCTTCAGTACCTCGTCTACTCCAGCCATCATCTCCTGTGCATATTTGTTCTGCCCTCCCCTGCAGCTCTGCCCTGAGGGAAATCATACTTTTATATTCTTGATTAACAAGTAAGGCTCTAATGTTTCTCTTTAAAGCTGTGTGTCTCAGGCTTTAATGTTTCTTGTTAACGACGTGTATCTCACCCACGCTGACATTTCTTGCAGTCGTCATCAGATCTGCTCCTTCAGCTAACCATGTCTTAATAAATGCACAGAAATTTGCCTGCAGCTACCAAACACAACCACCTCCTCAGAGTTATGGGTGTTTCTGAAGTTCATTGTAAGCACTCAGAAGATTGTTAAATGGTTCAGTTCTGTCAGCACAAAAGTGTCCAGTACTCGAAGAATCGCTGCTGGTGCTGCAGATATTACACACAGTTCTGTAAATTAATTGCTTACTGTGGCCCCGAGACTATTCAAAGCTTCTTCAGATTGCTAGCACACAACATCTCTTATGCCCTTTTATCTGCTGCACTAAACCAAATAAGTTCCTTTAATTTTATAACTTACACAATTGTCCCTAACACACACTCCTGATGGTAAGAGAGAAAGCAAAGCTGTGAATTTCATCTCTTCTAACTGGAACGCTAAAACCTAGGAGCTAAAGTCAGAAGTTATTTCTGTGTTACTTTAGAATGACAAAAGTACTACATCATCCAGTTTTAATATTTTGGGGATGGTTTATTCTTCTGAGGTTGCCTCAGAGCTTGCAAAAGCAAAAGGTTGCTTGCAGTTACACTGCTTTTGCCATGAGTGACACTGACCAGGGACCTATACTGTACTAACACAAAAATATTTGCTTTTCAAGTGAGGTGGATGACTGCTCCGGAGATTTTTATTGCTACAAGGAAATGGCAGCCCCACTAATCAGTATTTTAAAACCTTCCTTTTAAGTCATCCTGCACTGTTTGCTATAGACACGGTTCAGAGTCCTGTTATTAACAGATCTTATTAACCACCTCTGGAAGACTGAACAGCAATTTTCTAGCTGCTGACAAGTCCACAAGCAGAAAGTGCCCCAGGGAGAGTGAAACTAACAAAAGAGAGCACTTTTAGGATCTCCCAAAACATCTTGCTTAATTTAAAATAAAAAAAATTAAGTTGCAAAAATTGTGAGGTCTAAGGTCTGCAAAAGATGCATTAAATGAGATGCAAGAAGTCGGATAGATTCAATTCACCAAAGGAACAAGGTTTAGCAATGACTTGAGCATACCTGGTAAACATAGGGGAAAGATTTCTATCGGAGGTCACTTATTCTGAATGACAAAACCAAACTGAAACCAGACACAAAAATAAGACAGATGATGAAGT